TGAAGAAAAAAAGAAGAAATGTAATATAACGTGATAATATCATACAATTGTTAGGCTACGTTTCGAAATTTGTTAAATGGTTGAGGGAAGCAAATACTCAAATTATTAGATCTAATTAGTGATCACTTGTAAGATTGATCAAATCTTTAACAGTATTAATTAGAAGCAATGTTATACTCAAAACTTTTATCAAAAAAAAAAATGTATTATTTTTTATTAAAAACATTAATATATATCTCACTATATTCAATCAAAACGTATAAAAAGAGTGCATGATCAAAGCAAAAAAATAGATGAGTGGTTGTACTTTGTAGTAAAAAATTTTGTTTTGAAAGAAAAGTGTGTAGTATATTATATTGTTGTAAAATGAAATAAAACCAAAAAGGTACCTGAGGATAATGGAACCAGAAACACTGCCAGATGCGACGGAGCAAAGAGATTTCACGGCGGAGGAGAGTGAACTAGCGGCCATTTTCTTATTTAGATAGATTTATATATATAATATGCCGATCAAGCTTAGCTATTAGCTACCGCAAAAGAGGTTATATTCTTCTAAGATAAGTGATTACCTTAAGAAGAAAACAATCTTTTTTGCAGTAGCCGCCGGTGCTAAAGCCGCCGTCAAATTTTCTCCGGTGATGGTGTTTTGAGAGATCTTTAGGGTTTTGGGTTCGACATGGTTTATATACACCACGGAGAAGATAAATGTTTTGGGCTCATGGGCCTTGGTTTCGGCCCACAAGTTTCCGCTGGGGTCCACCATATGATCATGTTTGTTGCCAAAGTAAAATGAGCTCGGTAAAATTTTAGGATCGGGTTAATCTAGTTTACAGTTTGTTAATATCGATATTTTGGTGTTAGGGTTTGTAAAGTTTTAAAACCTTGAAAATAATAATAACCAATAAACAAATTTTAGTTTAGTTGGTAACAAAATTATAAATTTTCAACTCAAAATTATAGTGAAGGTTGTTATATCTATATTTCTTAATTATATAACAGTGTGATGAGTCTATCATTGTTTCTCATGTGGAATAGTTTTTTTTTTTTTTTTGAATAATGGTTTTTCTTGCTCATTCATCACGGAACGTATTTCATATTTTG